TAACATTAATCAGCAGACGGATCCGTGAACTCATCTGTTAGCTACATCTCCAGCAGAGCATACTTCAGTGTCTAACGCTGTAGGCTCACACTTACCGCTCTGTTCCCCGAGAAAGACCAATTTAAATTTTCTCAAAGGGTTTCCGAAGTCTCCGGCCGCAGACATGACTGTATGAAACAAACCCTGACGGTACTTTATACGGGAGCTCCCCAGCTAGCCAGCTAATGCTATCTACTACCCAGCGGTGGTCGGATATTAAAGGTCCGGGATCCGAAACCGTCCTGCCGGTTCTGCCAACCCTCTACACAGTCCACCTGGAGAGGTTCCGTGCCCTACAATCACTCCGTTAAGCTTCCGGACACTTTTTGTTGATAGCTCACAGTTAGCATTGCTGTCAGTTCTCTGACATATCTGAACCACTGCCACCAGGGCTGCTCTTCTTCTACACACATAAAGTTCACACTATTCACCAAGTCAGGCATATTGCGGTGCTGCCCTCTACTGGTGGAGGAAACACAGAATGATAAAAGGGTGTATCCCTGTGTGGTAGAGCAACGCGACTGTAGACTTTAACACGAATAAACACGGTCTGTGTAATGTACCACTTTTTATAATAGTCTAGTGTCAGTATAGTGTACAATCAGAAGAGTAGCAGCTAGTGATTGAAGCATGTTGTGTCTTTGAATGGCCACAAGAGGGCGGAGTCACCCCAGCGCCAGTATCTCACCTACTGAGCAACCTTTATGATAGTGATTAGCTGTCTCGAGGAGCCTTATTGAAATTACATTCTTAAATGTGTAAGTATTGGATTTCTTATTAGTCATTATTGAACATGAAATAACAAATATGTTGTCTTTGTTTTTTCATGTGGATGATCAGAGAAGGGCAGTTTGTTCTTATTTAAGATACATGTTCTTTTTGTTTTGATAAATAGGAATATACTATCTATCTATCTATCTACTGCAGTGTGCACATGTACAGTCTTATATATTAATGCCAGGTTTTGCTGGCAATCTTTCAACATTCAGTCTGGCATAATTGTCTTTGTGAACAAAATTAAATCACAGTTATGGGTAGCAGTATGAAGGTGTGAAATGTGGAAGTCTAACTTGTTAGGTCTATTATGTCAGACACATGACAGACAAATTGGTATCATGCTGTGATGTTTACAGGACGCTGTAGCTGTCATTCGTTTGCTCGTGACCTCCAGCTCCCTGGACAGCTGCTGTCCAGAAGGTTGAAGCCCTGTGGCCACATACAAGGTGACTTCCTCCACTTGCTTCACCCAAAGACCCATACAAATCATTTTTAAGGTTTCAGAAAAACAACATATGGATTGCATGAGGTTATAGTGCCGATGGCTTATTTTGCATACTGATATTTTGTCTAAATATGTCTCCTATATTTGTTTCACTATTCAGCTCAAGAGCTCAAGATAATCAACTATTATATATTATGAACTGAATTAATAAGGATCTTGCTGAGGTACTGATAAAGCTGGGGTTTGCTCTTTCTACCTGCATTCATTTGAATATTAAACCATGATTCATCATAGTCATACCAACATTTATTAATAATTACTCTGATTTCCATATTTTATCAAGTGCCCTTGTTTTGTGAGGATAATTTCAGTCTTATGTAACTCTCATAAACATTACATAGGCTTAAATATTGATTATCCCTGTGCAGTGCATAGGGAAATATATAGGGTATGTTTACATAGGCATCTGCATGAGATCAAACATGAGCTCAAACTGAAAAGAAATATTGTATATTTTAAAATGTTGAATCCTGACAGAATGTACTGTAAGCATACCAGATGTTTCCTTTGCAGTTGTTTTACTAGTGAGTATGAACTATACTAATACATTAGGACCCCCAACTATTACACTCATATGAATTACATTTGTATTATCATGGATATATTTATATATGATGATGCGTTTGAGTACAGTATGTGTGTTTATGCATGTTTGAACTGGCTCTTCTAGGTCACCGAAGACACACCTGCGCCTCTCTCTCACTCGTGTGCCATCCAGCTCTGAACTCTCTTCTCGGAGTGCCGACCGGCTGATGCCAGCGCTTCAGCTGCTCTGTTTGCAACCCAAGCCTCACCAAACTCACATCACACTCCGCCTCCCCTTTCTCTTCTCCTCAACAGCACTCTTACACCATATGTCCTTGGTAAGGGAAAGACCCAAAGTCCCCCCACTGAAGATGCTGAACAAACAAAATCCTTGTTTGCTCTCTGCCCCCCCCCCTCTCTTACAGACACACACACACACACACATGCAGGGGGATTTTGCATGTGTGCATGCACATTCACAACAAGATAGATCGATTACTAATGGACTGTAGAGGTTGTTGTGCAAGGGCTGTGATTGTGAGTTTGCTCACCTCACTGCTATTTGTTTTCATATATACAACCGCACAAGATTCGAGTATGTTAAGGTGGTATTACATTTTATGAAGTGCCCCAAAGGCATGCACCTTATTCTGCAACAAATAAACTGTCAAGTAGGGATGCATGTTGTCCAAAATCAAAGAAGTGTAACTAAAGGAAAGCGTGGCACAAATGAATTGAACTTGTCACTTCAAGCAATGACTTCATTCTGGTGTGCTGGTCTCATGACATGCCACTGCTATCATTTACTTCTGCAAAACTTGACTTAGTCTACAAGATGGGAAAACCTTGTTATGAGTCACATCTTGGGAGAAAACAAACGTGTTTTCTCTTGTTATGTATCCTTGTCTCTTAGCTGAACATACACACGTATTTGTCTACTGGTGAGTGAGCAAGTGAATTACATGCCATACATCTGCCTGCATGTGCATGTAATGGAGGGAGACCATCCCATTTCCAATATAAATCTAATGAATGCAGCTTTCAATGTCACAGCAAAGTACAATACGGCGCTCATCTCTCCTGAGAGGGAGCGAGAGCAAAGGGGCTCTAATGGAGGAGGGGGGAAATGGCCAGAATGAGGAACAGAAAAAGAAGATGAGGAAAGCAAATGCAGAAAGGGCATGAGGGTTGGGTCAGGGTAAAATAGGTGTGTTGTCAACCCTTAATTTGGTAAGATGGAGACAGGGAGGGGATAGATGGGGGATGGGGTGTAGCTGAGCCACAATTCTCCTGTAATCCTCTTCCTGGAAGCATGGGCTAGATGATGTGTGGCAGAGAGTGAGAAAAGAGAGGAAATGAGCATTTGAGAAGTACAGGAAACACCGCCAAGCTTCCAGACTGGAACAAAGGATTGTGGTGAAGACAGGGGCAGAAGGCACGGTTAGATCACAAATCCCTATTTTTCTGTGCAACATCAGGCAGGAACAGACACAGCAGTACGGTGGGAGGCATTCTTGCAAGCATAAGTGAAGCAGTGATCAGGGTAGCAATCCAAGCACATTTACCAGAGGACGGAGGGAGGGAGGCAGGGAGGGAAGGAGGGAGAGGGAGGAGAAAGAGCAGATCTATGAGAGGAAGGGGTGGGGGGTGTTGCATGCTCAGAGTGTGACAGAGATAGAGCGATTCCATGAGCGAGAAAGAGACACAGAGGCAGAGAGGGAGAGCACAAAGCAGAGATGGGGGGCGAACACTGAGGCAGAGGTAGTTGGGAAGACAGAGATCTGCACACAAACGCTAGCAAAGGAGGGGAAGGAGGAAGAGAGCGGAGGTTGAAGGAGAGCAGGAGGAGGGGGAGAAAGGGATGCAAGATGATGGAGCCCAGAAATAGGCTTCACAGGACAGCTTTTCATACCCGTTCTCTGCGGCAGACATGACTCTGGGCATCGGACTGTGCTGAAATTAGCCAGGGGGACAACACAGGACAGCAGGTCTGCAGCGCTCTGCCTTGGTTCAGCCTCACTGGATGCAGCAAGGCAGCTGATTTATTACTGAGGGGCTGGGTGGCGTGTGCAGCTCTGAGTGTGTGTGTGTATGCAGGTTTTTATGGGTCCTGGTAGCGCTCGGAGCTGTGGGAGCAACCATTCCTCCAGTCATAAAATGACATTCAGCAGGCAGGAGCTTTGTGTGCTGGTGTGGATCTGCAGTCCCCAGTAGGAAGTGGGAGAGTGGGATTCAGAGCTGTCATCGAGTGCAAGTGTGTGTGTGTTTACAGTGCTGTTCGCTGAGGTGAGCCAAGGAGGATCAGCTTTATGCGGTGTGTGTGTTCAGGTTAGAGTAGCAAGGGTGCAGCAAAGGCATAGATTCTACACAATGCAAGGACGAGCGCAGAGCAGCACTGATGGCAGGCAGTGCAGGTAAAGTACAAGGAGTGCCCTGGGGGTAGGGTGGAGGACGAAGGCAGGGACAGAGGAGGAAGAGGAGGAAAGAGCGAGGGGACGGAGAGAGACAAGTGGAAAAGAGAGGGTGATCATGGCTGTCATGCAGTGAGCTATAGCATATGCTGTAGCGCAGAACAGAGTGGTGCGGCAGGGGGAGGACAAGCATCACCGCACAGGGGAGGGGGAGAGAACTGAGGGAGAGAAAAGGGGGGAGGCAATCAGCTCAGCACCTCTCCTCCAGCAGGAGGAAAAGCACAGCGGGACAGGCCCAGGAGAAGACACTCAGTCAAAGACGCACTGACGAGCAGTCAGGTCAACGTGTAGAGGTCAAAAAGGGAGCTGGTGCGGGACGGGGGTTGGGTGTACCCCCCGCTGGCTGGCAAGTCCACAAGAGCGCAAGCCGGTCCTGGGAGGAAGAAGAAGGGGTCGAGAAGAGAGAAAGAGGGGACGGTCCCCCAACTCCTGTTTCTTTTGACAGTCCTGCCACCTTGCCATCAACATGGGCGAATGGACCATTTTGGAGAGGCTGCTGGAGGCGGCTGTCCAGCAGCACTCTACTATGATTGGAAGGTAAGACACTGATTGATTTTGTGAGTAAAGGTTTCGTATCTGTGGTTTTGTTTATAACGTTGAGCTGAGTGGTTTAAAAGTACAGTACAGTATGTATCAGTTGATGGCATCCCTACAGAGACCCCCCTCCTCAGGCTTGTCCCAGTGCTCTCCTCTGTTCTACAGTCCCCCACAGTCATCACTGCCTCCCCCGTCCGTTCCTCCTCCCTGCTCTCCTCACCCTTATCCTCCACACTCATCATTTGTTAAGGGATGAACTAATTGCACATAATCAATAGCAGGCTTTACTGGGCATTATGGTTAATTCAGAGAGGCTCCTGTGTTGATACTACCTAATAGCCTAGCTATTGATAGATAACGCTTGATGCCGCTGGCCACAGACCAATAGGACAGAAGTAGGAGAGGGGAGTGGGAGTGAGAGGAGAGCAGAGGTGCGGAAGATGAAAGGATGGTGAGCGAGCAGGTGTGGAAGGTAGAATCAAAGGGGGAGTAAATGGCTCTGAACTCTGTGCGAACTCGAGACAAGAAAATTTATTTCAAAAACAAGTTCATTCAGTTTATTCTTAACGGCAGACACTTATTTGCATCGTAGTGAAAGTCTGATCAGATCTTTTCTCATATTTTGTGTGAGAATGGTTCGTGGTGGAGGGTTGAACAGATGAGCTTTTAGTTTGATTAGCAGTGGAGACATGCCATGGAGACATGCTGTAAAATCTGTGTGACAAAAAAAGTGCTCCACATCATCTCTGTGTGATTAATAAATGCAAAAGTGGAATTTTCCCACCCATTAAACACAATCCAAATGTCACGCTGGGATGCTCGTTTGGAAAACTGAAGAGTCAAAGTGGTTTAGCCTGTGAAACCTGGATGTATGGATAAGTGGTTTGAAAATTACCTTTAGAAAAAAAACAAGCCACTAAGACTATGAATTTGACTGCACTGCTGTGCTCATTAACCCAGACCTCAGGTAGTCTGCAACAAGGGCATGGCCTAACTTTCTCTCTGCTGTGTGGCTTTTTGTGAGTGTGTGTGTCTCGCTCTGTGTGTAAGTTAAAGCAGTGAAAATTGGCTCTTGACTACACTGTGCACTGTGTGCTCATAGCCATTAGACTATACCCTTCAAAATCAGACAGAGATGATGTGAGCTGCATTATAGCCAAACTTCTGTTGATCAGGGATCTGAAATCATGTGTGATGGAGATTTTCCTTCCAACCAAACACTACACCAAGTCATTTCAATGAGTTCTTCCTCTGAGGTTGAGTGCCTTAATCAATGAAATCACCTGGTCTAGTCCTCAGATGGAATGAAAACCTGCATATAGTAGAGCATGTTGACTTGATTCAAAGATGCATTAAGCAACGTTTTGTACCATTTAATTATATGACTCCCTCTTGCTTATGGGATTGGTAGTATTGCCGATACCACTGAGAATCAACATCTCACTTTGAAGCTCTACGCAGCTTTCCGCCATTTTCAGCTGATTGTTTTGGTTTCTGGCGCAACAAAACCAAAACAATGTCGGCTCGTGTATGACCCTGGGCAACTGCTCCCAACACAGAAGCTAAGACAAGCTAATTGTACGCGAGCTGTCCAGCGCAAAATGGCAAAGAGTCGAAGTAACTGGTGAAGAAACGTTTAGCAAGGCAAAAAGAGAGAGATCTTTTTCTCATGAGCTGGAAGACTAAACAAGGGCTAAACGCCAGTGAATATTGGAATTACATTCAACAGGTGGCCAGAAAAAGGAGACCAAAGGGATGTCCGTGTTGCTCTGTTTCTGCTGGATTTGTAAGTAGGCAACTGTTTGCTAACATGTTAGCCATAACAACTTCATAAGCTAATTGCTAACTGTTGTGAACTTGTTCTGGAGTCTTTCCGCCCCCTAGTGGTCAAAAATTACTTAATGCAGCTTTAAAATCCAGTCCTGGCAGCTGAATCAGTAATACCCTGTGAGCACAGGGTACAAAGAATGCTGAAAATTAATCCTTGGATGATTCAATGACTGTAAGCCACCTACAGTTTTTCAGAGGCACAGAAGCAACTCTCAATTTGTCTGCTACCTCTTTCAAAAGTCATAATGTAATGGCTTCTGCTTAATTTGGGCTATTTGTTGATCATGCACTTCACTGGTTGAACATTAAAAATGGTCCCCTGAATACTTAAAATACATTTAGTAAAATGAGCAGTGCTTTCCCTGGCTTAGAATAGTCCTCTATGCATCAGATTTTGTTCTCCATATGATAGGATCTACTAGATTAATTACCTGCTGTGTCAAAACATCCAAAATGATGTAACATTTGAAAGTTAAATGATAATATGAACTAGTAAAAAAATCCCTCATACAGTGAGTAGTTTGTGTGATGCTTACAAGACATCAGCTATGTGATACTGTGCTGAATACAGTGGAATGCTTTGTAAATGATCCCTATGTGTTTTGGCTTCCCTCAGACTGTGTTTGTCCTACAAGGCTCTCTAGTTGACCCTAGGGCATTAGCTGTAACATTAGCTGCTTTCCAGTGAGGTTCCCTCCTTCTACTCTGCTTGTTTATGCTATGCAAGTAAAGAAACATTGTCCTTGGAATCACTTTGAACAATATTTTGTGAGTATTTTAGGCTGTAGATCCCTGAATTTCTTTTGACCCTTGCCAAGTCGATTTTAGCGTTGTCCCTGATAGCTAGCTTGTTTGCAGGATATCTTAAAAAATACTGGGGAATTTGTATGCAGTTTGGTGGACAGAGAGACCTTGGGTTAGATAGAAACTTATTATTTAGTGGTGGTCTGGATCTTGGCTTTTAACTTCTAGACAGGCATTTTTAGACATTAGACAATCTTAGCAATAACACAAAAACTACTAAAGATAAAGACTTGATTCCTAATCCTAAGCATGTGTCTGCATGGTCAGGAAATTAATGACACTTAAAATGATCAGAATGATGTTTGTTGATGTACCAGCAAGTTGGAGAATTGTTCACCACTGGCACAGTTTTGTGCTGTAAAGATGCCTCCTAGATTGTTAATGAGCAACTCCACACTAAATCATGTATGGAGTCAAAATTGTTGCACTGACCTCTATGGGTTGAAAGGTTCAAGTCTGTTACACCACTGACCACACCCAACAACACAGTTGGGTGTGGTCGGGTGTGGTCTGTTGCACTTGTGAACACAACCAACTGTAATATAGCGTTGCACTGTTGTGCATTGTGAAGTCCTGCACTTCACAGGGTGTGGCCGGAGCATGCAGCAACTGCTAGATGGCATCACATGTAGGATGTTCAGCCTGTGTATAGTTTCTTTGACAGAGTTTGCATGTGTGCGCTTGCAGTTCAAAGGATGCAGTTCCAAAGTACAGAGCAGTGATGTCTCCCCATGGCTGAAAAGTCTCCCCTGCATCAAAACTTTGGAACATGGTTGCATGTCAGTCATCTGTTTGAGTGCCAACCCTCTCTCTTGCAACGTGAGGATGTAGTTCCACCGTGAGACACTGTCAGATAGCATTGTTGGATGTCTAGACTGTAAAATCCAGCTACAATTAAGCTGTTTCTTAATTGTAGGTTTTAAGCTAACCTATGCCCTGGCATAGGATAGATAATTAGCCAGTGTTAAAAATAGAAACGGACCAACTCTACGCAGTGGCATAGGTTAGCTTAATTATGGTCTTTGAAAGAGACAGACAATTGAGAGTTGCTTCTGTGCCTCTGACTAACCACAGGTGGCTTGCATATTATGACTTATTCAAAGATTAATGTTGTGTATTGTGATTCCCATATGCCTGACTTCTAACTGGGCAATGTACAGTGTGTGCATGGATAACCAATGACTGTAATCATGATTACACAGTGAAAGAAATCATTGTCAAGGCTGCATTAACCTCATTCTCTCACCAAAACCAAATTTACTGTATATTCACAGTTGAAATGACCCTGGGGCTTTCAGCATTAGATAACTGACAGTTCGGTGTGGCCTGTAAAGGGTCTCAGTGTATCTCACTAACTGTGTTAATTAAGCAAATTAATTAAGTTTCTGCTTTTGATGGACAGAGGTAGCCTGCTGACACAAACCACCACACACCACCAGGGCTATAGATATACTTGGTGCACATAATAAAAATACTACCTCACAATGTTTTTTGGGATTATTCGACCAACATTTACAGTGAAGCGTACTCATACTTGTGCACTCTTTACAATTATTCCTGCAAGTATTACTTTGTAGAGATGTGTGTTGACTGACTTTCAAAGCAGCATGTTGCTGCAAACCAACTACAGGTGATTTATAGACTTCTACACCAAAATGAATAAAATGTTTTTGTGTTGATATGCTGATGATACACTGGTGTGTTTGTATAAAATATAACACCAGCAGCCTTGATAATGTTTGCAGTTGTCTTATATCTCAAAACTTTGTACACTTAATAATTAATTTACACAAACCTACATTTACATATTTATTGTAATTCAGAAAAATGTGGACAAGAACGGCAAACATCAAACTCTCAGTCAGAGATTTGCTGGTAGGTCTGGTGTAGTACTTTACAACAGATTCACGTATAAATAGCTAAGTCTTGTTTCTATGATTAAAAATGTTATTTTTCCTTTACTTTTCCTTTCACCCGCTTCATCATTTTTGCTTATCAGAGCAGCATTTAAACACCTTGACAATACACATTATTGTGCAAATAAGACTATTTAATCCAGTGGGACAAGCTACTGCTTGTATACTTTGCAAATCGGCCAAAAACCAACATTTGTCCACAAAACACTGCAAACAGTTGACTATCCAGAGCCATTCCATCATTTGTATTTGATGGATGAGACCAGATAGACTATCAGTTTTTCCATGTGAGACGTTAGTTTCATCTTCTTTAGATAAAAGATAAATAAATTTAACTTCTTGGACTCCCCTAAATAAAATCAAAATCTTCTGCTATCCATTCATTATGTGATATTTTAAACACAATTATGTGATGCATATTCCACTTAAGGGCAATAAATGTATCATATA